CGGGGGGTGCGCACCCGCGATCGAGGTAAGGGCGGCCGTTGTAGAAGAGGAAGACGGCGATCGCGCCCGGCAGCGCACCCTCTGCTGAAGAGGCTGCCTCGACCGCCTCCTCCGCCGCCGCGTGCGTTGGGAAGCGCACGCGCCACCGGCCCTCCTCGAAGCGCGCGTTCTCAAACGCCCCGAGAGCACTGCGCAGCTCTGCCTCGGCGCCGGCGCCGTCGAGCCCGCCGCCCTTCTCGACGAGGATGACCACCTCGCCGTCCAGCTCCGCCGGGCGGGCTGGCACGGAGCGGTGGCGGATGACGATCGTGCCGAAGAGAGAGGCGTAGACGTCGCCCATGACCTGCCGGAGGGTGAGAAGAGGGGAGGCGTTAGGAGAAGCACGGGCATGTGTGCGGGCGAGATAGTGGGGAGTAGAAGAGCGGCGGGCGCAGAGGGCGGCGGGGAGAAGGCGGCGCGGACCTTGAGCGCTTGATAGAAGAACTCGTCCTCGGCCGCCGTCCTTGGCTTTTGCGGGAGCGAAGAGAAGCTGCGGAGGGGAGGCGCACGGGGGGCGGGGGCGGCAGAGTGTGAGAGAAGCGTCAAGTGAGGGAAAGGCGCAGAGGGAAGCCTGTCCTCCCACGCAGCGCAGCCACTGGGCCCGGGGTGGGTCTGGGGCGGCGGCGCACTCCCAGAAGAGGCCCGTCACGTGCTCGCCGAGCGGGTGGCGCAGGAAGCGCCGCACGTTCGCCAGATACTCTCCAGTCACGTCGGGGTGGTCCGGCGAGGCCCAGCCGTACGTCAGCCCGGCGACTTCGCGGCTCAGCGAGCGCAGCGCCGCAACAGCCTCCTTCGGCGTGAGGAAGATGCGGATGCGTCGCTCCTTCTCCATTCGCTCCAGCTCTTGCCGGCGGAGGAGTTTAGGCAGCACCGCCTCGGAGCCGTCGGCGCGCAGGAACTCGGTGCGGAGCAGCTTGATGGCGCCCGAGCGGAGGGCGGCGACGAGCGCCTCGTCGAGGGCCGCCAGCAGCGGGATGCCCTTGTGGTCGGCGGCGGTAAGCGCAGCTGACGTACCGGCAGCATAGCCCTTCTCCTCGTCCTCGGCATCGTCTGTCGCTATCCTGTCGTCAAGATCGAGCTTGCCGACCGGCTGCTTCTCCGACGTCAGCTGCCTCTCCTGCGCGTATTGCTCTCTCTGCTCCTCTTCCAGCTCGTCCGGTCTGCTCTCGCCGCAGCCCATGGGCGTGCGAGCCGCCAGGGCGTGTCAGCAATCGTGCTCACAAAGACCGCCGCGAGGAACCTGCAATTTCTTTGAGCTTAGCCTTCGATGTTATGAAACAACGCAAGGCGGACATGGCATATCGCTCTCGGGCCCACAGACATCCCGCACACTCGCCGCACACCCGCCGCCCCCGCGCGCGCCCCGCCCCGGCCGGGAGAAAGGGGAGTGACAGTTTGGGACGGCAACAGAACGAGTATGTTGAGTCC